AAAAAAAAACACATTGGCCCCCGTTTTCACTCAGCCTTGAGTGGGTACTAGGCAGAGTCCTGGGAAGTAAAGGCGGCCAGCGTTATGCTGACCAGATCACCAACCAAGGGCCGCTTGCTCTATACAATAAAGGTCTAGCCCAATATACCCAACACGCCTAAAAGTGTGGGAAAAGGTCCTTTACTTTTTTTTTTGGTTACATACAGGGAAGGGAACCTCCGTGGTCTAGCAGCTAGACGCTCGCCTGCGGATCGGAAGGTCGTGGGTTCGGGTCCTGTCGGAGGCGGACTTTTATTAAAAATAACCTTGGTCGACCCAGCCTTAAATGGGTACCAGGTAAAGTCTTGGAATGCAAAGGCGGCCGGCGTGAATTTGACCACATCACCCACTGATTGCCGATTATTCTATAAAATATAGATGTAACCCTATATGCCCAATACGACTGAAGGGTTCTTTTACATGATGGGCACGCCGTTCTGTCTTGCATTTGGCCTGCGCATGTTCTAATGGTAGATAAGTAAAACGTCGATTAACCGTCGCCACCGGATAAGGGATATGATGGATAACCGAATAGACGGATAATAGAAATCTCCTAATACATGTGTACATTAACGTGATTTCACTGCGGGCTTGGAACGAAATGAAAATAAAAACCTTTTAAAACGAAATAATACATAGTAAAAGTAAATACAAATCCCTTTTCACGCCTTTAGGCGCATCAGGCATATGGGAAAAGCACCCATATTTACAGACCAATCGGCACTCGGTGGGTAATGTGGTCAGCATTACGCCGGCCGTCTTTACTTCCCCTGGACAGCCATCCTGGTACCTATTTGAGGCTGGGTCGAGCTGCGACGTCCCATACCCCGATAAAAATCCACGCAGCCTGCAGTGGGTTTCGATCGCGGTACGTTGGATTACGAGTCGGACTCGCAACGCCTTAGCCACGACGCCGCGAATAATGCATACAGATTGTATTAATTTTTTTACAAAAACTAACAGTATACTGTATTGTAATATTATAAACCTACGTTACTTTAAAACGATGACGAATAACAGAAACTAATGGTTAAACGAGTGACGGCTAATTGAAGTTTTACTATAGTTAATATCCAGCTCTTTATTATAACACGTCGGCTCTGTGGCTAAGTCAATGCGAACGCTTCGTAATGCCGGGATGCTGGGTTCAATCCCAGCTGCGGACCATGCGCCTTGCGTTAGTTTCCACAGTGATATTAAGAAAGCCGACCGTCCAGAGGGCAATGGCAAACTACTGGAAGTAAATTTGCCTAGAAAAACCATACAGCAGTCAGGGGTTGTTGGGGTTGGTTCTGCAACGTCCTGTAAAGGATACGCAACAACCAATATATTATAACACCTGTGAACGTGTATTTCTTATATATCAAAGTGAGAGTTGATCAACTTGAGAGGCTGGGAACCAAAACTCTGCGTTCAAATAGGACGATTTGTAAAATGGTTATGCACGCTGACCTCAGTTTCTGAAACTAGACTAAAGCCTAAAAGTGGACGAACAACCAGAACCTTCCGCAAAAAAAGAGAATAATTATATCTTTTTTTTTTTTGTACAGTGAAAAATTTTTGGGTAGATTTATATTTTATAGACAGATCGGTGCTCGATGGGTAATGTGGTCGAGATAACGCCGGCCTCCTTTACTTTCCAGGGCAGATACAGTAGGAGTACACATGTAACTAAAAAAAGAAACATGGTATCAGAAAAAATTGTTACCTATCGTCGCCGTCCCAATAAAAGATGCAATTATATTGTTGGTTTTAAAACCTGGCCCAGCTGTGGTCTCTGGTCCTAATATAGCATAACGGTTGAACAGGGTTTTTGGGACCGGTCCCCGTGTGATCCTTATTTAAAAGGTGGCACTTTGTGTCACTGGGTGTTTATCACTTGGTGTGATGTTTTGGTGGGGTCAAAAACCTTAATCAATCAAAAGTTTCCTACTAACCTTTGAAAAACATGTTATCAATAACTAATCAGAACACAAAAGTTGTCACTAACTAATACAAATATTTTATCACTACCCATCTGGACAAACATCGTATAAGAAACCAGTTAAAAACGTTTTAGCAGTAACCAGCTAGAACACGCATGTTATAAATAACTAGTATAAACATGTTATTGTTAACAAAAACAAAAAAACAAAAAAAAAAACAAAAAAAAAAAAAAAAAAAAAAAAAAAAAAAAACAAACATGCTATCAGCATCTAATTAAAAAAACAGTAAATAATTATTTAAGATGTTTTAAAAACCAATTAAGCAAATATGTTATCAACAACAACTACAACAAAGTATCTATTCAGTCACAAGCAAAACGAACAATTTATCAGTATGCAAGTAAATGCATCTCACTTCTAGATTCAACGGAGCGATCTTACATCATGGCGGCCATCAACGAACTGACCGCTCTGACGTGTATCAGCTTCCTGGAGGTCAACCAGACCCATCAGCAGAAGCCAATACTGGACTTCAGGAAGGACATCGGGTCAGTTAATCTTTAAATGGTTTACCGATTATTGTGTTGAATGTTGAGTTTAGAATCGACAACACAACGCTCGGGACGCCCCCATAAGCGCTCCTTCCCCATCTTCAGTAGCAAGCAAAGAGTTCCAATTCCAATGGCATCAGTAACTGTCTGATGGTATATCCGTCTCGCCTTTCTCTAGAGTGTTGAGCGTCGGTCAGATCCCCTGGTAGCTACTCGCAATGTCATTCTCCTCAGACCGTAATGATTTGTTCCTGATTCCGCACTGTTCACTCGCTCCCAAAGGGCCCTCACAACATCTAGCTTATCACACATCATTTTACCAAGTGGTGCAAAACCGGCTTGTCTATCTGCCAGATAGTGTCCCACCACACCAGCATGACCTGGAGAACGACTAGTGTGTATCTTTATATGTAGACAGAACGTTAACAAACGAACGGACGGACTGACAGATGTTTGAGGTTTGAGGTTTGAACAACGGATCAACATCATAGACACAGGTAGTAACCCAAAAGTGCTCCGTGCTTCTTTTTACTCAAGTCTGAGTCCGAAGAAGCTCAGCACAATGCACAGGCTCTGTAGCACTGGCGAGGATCCTGAAATACTTTAGGTAGATTATTAACTACACATTTTGCAAGGGCAGCGCCGTTAGGCTACTCTTTTCGATTTCCAACTACCGAGGTATTCTTTCCATGCGCAACAATGCCCAGGCCTTACCATGGATTGAACCCGGAACCTCTAGCACTCGAGGCGGACACCATGCCTGGAGACCAAGCAGCCCCCTGGACGGACAGATAAACAGACGGACTGCTAGATAGACTGGCTGACTGACAGGCTGACTGACAGATGGATTAACATAAGTAAAGTGAGTCAAGGACCCTTTTTCAAGCCTGCAGGCGTGTTGATTGCATAATGCTAGACCTACATTTTATAGACCAATCGACACTGGGTGGGGAATTTGGTCAGCAGAATGCCGGCCACCCTTACTTCTAGGGCTGCACCTGATACCCACTCAAGGCTGGGTCGACCTGGGAGCCAAGGTCATTATTGAAGAAGTCCAGCTGCGCCAGGACCGGAACCAGCGACTTTACGATCCGCAGGCAAGCAGCTAGCCCCCGGATTAACATCGAGCACACATTAAAAAAAGCGCCGTCCGTGGCTTAGGCGTTGCGAGTCCGACTCGTAATTCCATCGTATCGCGATCGAAACCCACTGCTTGCTGCGTGGATTTTTATGGTGGTATGGGGCATCGCAGGTCGACCCAGCCTTGAATGGGTACCAGGATGTATATCCAGGGGAAGTAAAGACGGCCGGCGTAATGATGACTACATTACCCATCTAGTGCCGATTGGTCTATAAAAATATGGGATGCTCTTCCCATATGCCCGATGCGCCCGAGGCGTGAAAAAGAATCTTTACTATTTTTTTCAAAAAATAAATTTAAAAAAAAAAAGAAAAAGACAATCAAGAGCTTCTGAGCCAAATAACGGCGTCACTTATTTGCAGCACCTCTAGAGACACAATATCCCAGGAAGAAGACCAAAGGGTGTAAGAAGAACAGCTCCAGTCATAAATAACAGCCATGCCCAAATACAGAAAGCACATCCAGGAAGATGGACACGCAAAACGTAACCCCCTCCTAGAACCAAAAGAGAGGACCCAGACGTGTTCAGAAATGACCACCTTCCCCACAGTTATTGACATAAGCCACAACTACTGGCACAAGAAACCAAACAAGCCTTTTAACTTGACGCACATTAAACTAGACCCTAACTGTAACCGAAACTGTCTTCAGCTGGATTTAACGTGGTCAAATTCTTAGCCTCCTCGCCCCCTCCCTTGCCCCCTTCCCCCGTCCTTTTTCATCAAATCAACGACAGCAACTTTAGAAGTATTAAGAGGATTGACGTTTTTAAACAACGGTTCAACATCATGGCACACGGGTGTAACCCATAAGTGCTCCGTCCTTCTTCTAACTCAAGTCTGAGTCCGAAAAAGCTCTGCACAGTGCACAGGCTTTGTAGCACCGGCGAGGATCCTGAAATACTTTGGGTAGATTTTAAAGTCCAATTTTGCCCAGGCAGTGCCGTTAGACTACTCTTTTGGCAACAATGCACACGGGCGTCCGATCTCACTACCCAGAGACCAGGGGGAATTACTAGAAGTCCCAGTCCATTCGAAAAAATCTCAGCCCTTACCAGAGATTTAACCCGAAACCTCTAGCACTCGAGACGGACACTATGCCTCAAGACCACGCAGCTCCCTTTTAGAAGTATTAGAGGTATCTTAGAGTAGAGCATGACCCGGCTCGCTAGCGTAGTTGGCAAAACCGGATTGCACGGTGACCGGGTGACGAACTCCTTGTGGTCCGGGTTCACGCCCGGGGGTAGGCAGAAAAGTCACATTTCTCCCAGATTTACGGTATTTACAATGGAATCAAGACCGAAAGGTTACGATATCCATAATACCGAGCCTAAGGGTTAACAACTCATGGCTTGTGGATAAAAAAAGTGTAGAGCATGAGACTAAATTGTGAGAGCATGAGACTAAATTGTGAGAACATGAGACTAAATTGTGAGAGCATGAGACTAAATTGTGAGAACATGAGACTAAATTGTGAGAGCATGAGACTAAATTGTGAGAGCATGAGACTAAATTGTGAGAACATGAGACTAAATTGTGAGAGCATGAGACTAAATTGTGAGAACATGAGACTAAATTGTGAGAACATGAGACTAAATTGTGAGAACATGAGACTAAATTGTGAGAGCATGAGACTAAATTGTGAGAGCATGAGACTAAATTGTGAGAGCATGAGACTAAATTGTGAGAGCATGAGACTAAATTGTGAGAGCATGAGACTAAATTGTGAGAACATGAGACTAAATTGTGAGAACATGAGACTAAATTGTGAGAACATGAGACTAAATTGTGAGAACATGAGACTAAATTGTGAATTAATATCTACTAAGACTGTTTGTGCCACTCATATGCCTACAGTTGCTGGTCCTATGTTGGCAGAGAGAAGGCGTTTAAGTTCCAGGAGATTTCGGCAGCAAACGGATGTTTTGAGGTTTGCCTTCCAACTGTTCTTCTGTGTGGATGCTGCGAATGATGTACAGTTTATGGTAGAGAGAACTGTGTGGATGCTGCGAATGATGTACAGTTTATGGTAGAGAGAACTATGTGGATGCTGGGAATGATGTACAGTTTATGGTAGAGAGAACTGTGTGGATGCTGGGAATGATGTACAGTTTATGGTAGAGAGAACTGTGTGATGGAAGGGAGAAGAAACTAAAGGCAGCAGAAGTATGATTTTATTTTAACAATGCTGAGGGTATCGTTGTTGAGGCTATGATAACTGCAAGTGTTCAATGATTATTCATCTCATTTTTAAAGGAATACGAAATGAGACATACACACACACACGGAGAGAGAGAGAGAGAGAGAGAGAGAGAGAGAGAGAGAGAGCAAAACCTTATTTTTGGAAGGGTCATATATGGAGCATGCAAGTCCGTCTTACATACAGCCCTTCCAAAGGTCTGTAAAAGAGAGAGAGAGAGGGAGCGAGAGAGAGAGAGAGAGAGTGAGAGAGAGAGAGAGAGAAAGAGAGAGAGAGAAAGAGAGAGAAAGAGAAAGAGAAAGAAAGAGGTGGAGGCGGAGACATAGACACACAGAGAATGAGAGAAAATGAGAGAGAAAATGAGCTAGTGATATAAGGAGTGAGAGAAAAATAGCGACATGGAAGAATAGAAGATGAGAGAAACAGAGCCACACAACACACACACACACAGATAGAGAAAGAGAGACGGAGAGAAGAGACAGAGCAACGAAGAGAGAGAAATAAATAGTAGTGTATACATATATATATATATATATATATATATATATATATATATATATATATATATATATAATATATATATATATATATATATATATATAGTTTTTAGAGAGACACTCATTGGTCCACAGAAAGGAATCCTGCTGCACGAACTGGGTCACGCAATAGGTTTCTGGCACGAACAATCCCGACCTGACAGAGACTCTTACGTCACGTATGTGGAAGAAAACGTCAAACGAGGAGAGGAATTTAATTTCAACAGGGTAGGATCACATGATCTTTGCCTAACGTTTTTATTGTTTGTATGTCCTGACTTGTAAGAAAAAGATAATAACTAAAGGGACCTTTTCACGCCAGTGGCCAGTATCAGGCCGGGTGCCATTTTTTTCCCAGGATATTGCCTTGTACCCACTTTAGGTTCGGGTCGATTTTGGAGAGATTTACAATCCATCCGGTGCAGATTTGAACCCACGACCTTTGGGCCAGCAAGCGAGCTTCTATCATGGGATGAAGATCTGGTTTATGTTTAGTTTTGTTCGCTTCATTTTCTTTTTGTTTTGGCTATAAATGGGATTGTGGCTTGGAACCCCCCCCCCCCTCTCTCTCTCTCTCTCTCTCTCTCTCTCTCTATTTTTCTCTCTCTCTCATTGTACCCCACAAAGACATCACACAAGCGATAAACACACGGTGACACAAAGTTCACCATGCGGATGAGAATCACCCGTGGTGAGATCCTAGAAATCCTTTTCAGCCATAAGTCTATATTTATAATCCGGCTATATTCACAAAAAGCCAAAAAAAGCTAGGATGTGGCTTTAAATAACAAAAAAATTGCATCCCACTTTGGGGACTACTGAGGTAAGGCGGGGAACCATAGAGATGGTATTCACCGAGAGGCAGAAGAAATATCTGGAACAACAACAGCTTGCTTTGTTCACGGCTTTCATTGATCTCGCAAAGGCATTGGACTCCGTCAAGAAATTGTCTATGAAAGATCATGGCGAAATACGGCTGCCTAGCGAAGTTTATCATGATTGAGAGCAACTGCATGATGGGATGCAAGCTAGAATTCAAAAGAATGGAGACCTATCTGAACTTTTCTATGTTTTACAAACGGTGTGAAACAAGGGCGTGTACTCTCACCTGCTCTATTCAGTATTATGTTCTCAGTTGTGCTTTCTGACGCTTTTGTGTTGGAGATGCAGGAATTGATATCAGCTAGCGCATCAATGGAGAACTCTTCAACCTTAGGGGCTCAAAGCGAATACCACAGTTAAATCTGGTTTTATTAGGGATCTTCTGTTCGCCGACGACTACGCTCTTAATATTGGTTCCGGAAGCGGATCTGCAGTACAACATGGACAGATTTAGGCTTACCATCAACACGGAGAGAACCGAAATCATGTACCAACTAGCACCAGGCAATGCGGATACTGAACCAACCGTTTTAGTAAATGAGAAAAAATAAGGGTTGTTGTTAGATTCACTTAACTTGGTAGTCTCAGAATGTCACTATCGACGACGAGGTGAGCACCAGAATCTTTGTCAGCTGCACATTTGGCAGGTTATACACAAATGTCTGGCATCGCCGTGGTATCAGTCTGTAAAACAAACTGAAGGTATACCAAGCAGCAGTGCTTCCAGTGCCACTGTATGCTTGTGAAACTTGGACTGTATACAGACGTCATGCTAAAGCTCACCACTTTCATAAGTCTGTCTGAGAAAGATATTGAACACCAAGTGTCGAGACAGGTTCCCGGGTACTGTTGTACTGGTAGAGCTGGTATTTCCAGCGTCCATACGATCCTGATGCAGATTCGATGAGCAGGTCATGTCGTCCGCTTGCCAGACCATCGTCTCCCAAACATAATCTTCTACAGAGAGAAACACTAAGATACACACTCACATGGTGGCTAGAAAACTTGTTTAAAGGACACGCTAAAGGCATCACTTAAAATTAAAAGCCTCTAATATAGACCCTGAAACTTGGGAGGTTGCTGCACAAGATCGGACCTTATGGCGAACGACAATCCGAGGAGGGGCAGCAACTTGCGGCTTCAAGAAAAGGCCAAGCTGAGCAAAGAAAACAGACAAGAAAGACCTGTATTATAACAGGCCCTGTACACCAGACACTGTTCCCTGCCCTGTTGTGGGCATATAGGGCTGGTAGGTATATAGGGGTAGTAGGCATATGTGGCTGGTAGGCATATAGGGGTAGTAGGCATATAGGGGTAGTAGGCATATCGGGCTAGTAGGCATGTAGGGGCAGTAGGCATACAGGGCTGGTAGGCATATAAGGGTAGTAGGCATATAGGGCTGGTAGGCATATAGGGCTGGTAGGCATATAGGGCTAGATCAATATTTTATAGATCAATCGGCACTTGGAGTAGCATGTGGTTAACATCGCTTTATTTTCCAGGACTTTACCTGCTACCCGTTTAAGGCTGAGTCTGAGAGTATCTGGGAGCTATTGAGTGCCAATTATTAACAACAACAACAACAAAGCAAAAAACAGAAAATTAAGGTTTGGATCATATTAGCCACTGGCGCATCGAGCGTACGTGCTCATCCTCACTCAGCAAGTCCTTCAGAGAACGTCGCTCTCCCCACAGCACGTCTGCAAGTCTTTCTTTCTTTAACCAATTCTCAAGTCCTATCTTCTTTCAAAGTCAACGCAGCTTCAGTGTCTTGAATCCACAGTCGCGGAAAACAGTCTCTGTCTCATTGTCTGGAAACGGTAACTCCCATCACCGCTATCTCCAGGTCAATATAACGTTTAACACGGCTAAAGTAGGTCAGCTTTCGGGACAGGATGCTGTTTATGAGCCAATTCTCATCGATGATGAGATTGTGTAGGATGTCGGTATTATAAGAGTTTTAACGATGCTAGACATATTTTTGTAAACCAACCGCCACTTAGTGGCTAATGTTGACAGCACCACGTGGTCGCCTTTGCTTCCCATAACTTTAAAAGCTGCCTGTTTGTGTGTTGTTGTTTTTTCTCGTGGTTTCCTCTAAATCAAGCCACATGGAAGCCAATGCCAGTTTTTTGTTTGTTTTGAAAAACAAATCCGAATCAATGCGAATTCGAACCAAAAACTATTTATAAACCAGTGGGTACTCTGTGGATGATGTCATCAACATCACGTCGGCCACCTTTACTTCCCAGGACTTTACCTAGTACCCATTTAAGGCTGGGTAGACCTAATAACAAAGATCATATAAAAAAAAAAAAACACGGCTACTTTCGGATTTAAACCCACGACCTTGAAATCAGCAGTTGAGTGTCCAGTCGCTACACCCCGGTGGCTCAACGAAATGTGTAGGGGAATCCTTAAATTGTTTATTGTTTACATGTAGGAATCCTGGGGAGACATCGACAACCTGGGAGTTCCGTATGACGTTGGGTCCATCATGCACTATGGCTCCACAGTAAGTGTGTACATGTGATGTTGCAGCTTCATACATACACCGGTAGTCCATTGTGTCGGCTCTGTGGCTAGGTCGATGCGAACGCTTCGTAATGCCGGGATGCCAGGTTCGATCCCAGCTGCGGGCCATGCGCCTTGCGTTGGTTTCGACAGTGGTATCAAGAAAGCCGACAGTCCAGTTGGCAATGACAAACTACTGAACGTAAATTTGCCTAGAAAAAACCCCGAAACAGCCAGGGGCTGCTGGGGTTGGTTCTGCAAAGTCCTATAAAGGATACGCAACTAACCGCAGAGTCCATTGTAGGTGCATGTGTGGCTGACTGTTATGGGTTTGCTTGTTTGTGTATGTGTATGTGTGTGTGTGGGAGTTGTGTGTGTTTGTGTGTGTGTGTGTGTAAAGGGGCTGGAGTCCAAGATTGTAGTTCAAGTGGGAAACCAGGCTTCGGAGCACCTGATTGAACTGCTTTTCTATTCACGAAGACACGTCGATGCTGTGTTACAGCACGACCATGGAGAGGTAGCCTATGTACAGACAAGTATTTATTCGTGTGAGTGTTCGTGTAGGTAGCACCTTGGGCAATGATTAGTGTAATAAGTGGTTTGTATTTCTACTCGTTGTCTAGGCAGTTTTCATGCGTGTGTGGTGGATGATATTCTCACACGCTC